ACTTAATCTGAAATCAAATAAATTAAGATGTGGCGTATAAACATCTCCAGATGAAGATGTACCAAAGGAGTAGGAATTCACAGTAAAGATGATCAGACGTTCTTGACAGCATCTGCAACAGTACTGGGTAAAAGCCACATGGCCAAGGACAAGTCATGTCTCTTACAAATAACAGAATCTATTCTTTGCCATCTTTCTTTTCATGACTCTATATAATGCTGGGTGCTAAGAATATGAGTCATTAAGGAGAAGTCATTACCAGTATCCGTTTATGAAGACAGAAAGTATATGATGCACACTCTATACATTATTTAGGGAATCCCCTTGGATTATTTAAATGAATCCCTGTACATGATCTCATCCAGTCAAATAATGGCAATAAAAATACCTACGATTTTCTTTCTACTTTGAGCAAGGGGAAGGTTGGAGGGAAACTTTTACCATGGGGCTTCTGCTATTTTTATGTAGTAGGCAATTCCAAATGATATGTCCAATAAAAGGCATACATGCTCATGAGAGACTAAATGGAATGTATTTTTAAATCCTTAATTATTTGACATTATTCAAGATTTTGCTTTTCTCCATCCATCCAACTTTTATTAAATGCCTAATCTGTTCATCATATTCTAAAGAGTATAGATGAATAAGTGTAAGTAACATATTAAATAAATGTAGCAAATCTTAAAGAGTCATTGGAATAACCAGGGAATCACGTTTCCATGAGTTGAATGCTTATAAATGACATTTGATATTCTTTGTAAAAGGTGGTAGGAAACACATGCAGATTACACGCTGATTTCAGGAAAATACTGTATCCACTCAACAATTGAAATTGGAGAATTGAATCTTCAAAGCTCATCAGCCAGACATGTTCATTTACATTCTGATATTGTTTGTTTCTTACCATAAGTTTCCGCAAGCTCCATCGTACTTTTAGGCAATGTGCTTGCACAACTGCATAATCTTATGCTGACAAGACAGTGGATTAAAACCTAGAGAAATAATACAGTGGGTGGATGACTGGCAGATGCTGAAATCTTCTATGGCTAAGCCCTCTTCTTCAAAATAACACTCCGTTATAACTGGGGGAGAGGCATTAGTTTGTTTCCTATGGACTTTAAACTGGAACAAAGAGGAATGCTATATAACAGAGTAATTGGCTCATTATTGCAGTAGCTACCGAGGTAAGACAGCTTCTGTTCAGTTTTAGAATAATGATTATCTGAAGTTTGAATCTTTTAGGTGGCCAATTAATATTTCTTTAGCTCTTCTTTGTCATTTTTTTCAGTTTATTGTACTGTAAAGAATACAGTATGAAGTTATTTTTTTAAATGCTGCTTTGAGAAAAATAATCATTTAAAGCCAGCAGACAAAACATTAAATAGTTTTAGCTCTCTGGCATATATGCCTAAGAAATGGGATCATCTGTTACAATAATGAACTTGCCAAATATTTGTGACAATCTACCATGTTTTAATGAAATTTAGTATAGATCCAACCTCCTGCTTAAATGCAAAATACTCTTCACATTTACAAAGGTTATTATTATGCTTTTTAGATCAAAGGCCTAGAAAATGAAGCTATGACATCCTATTTAGAATTTTACCAATAGTCACAGGAGATTATTAATTCAATATTGATTTTCAAATCTAGTGTCCATAGAACCAGATTCTTCATCCTAAACACAAGGACCTATTCCAATTTTTAATTCATCTTTATATTAAAGCATCAAACATAATGGCTTTAAATACAGGGCCATTTATTTGCGGGCTATAGCTCATTGAGAAGTGTTGCCAAATGATTCAAAGCATTGCTCAACCATTAATGAAGCATCTATATTAGGTTATCAGGATGCACTCTAATGCTGTTTGAACATAGGAATGGAAGCTACTGGAAGGGAATTAGTAGAGTAGATAATAAACTGAAGTGAACAGACTTTATATGGTAGTAAACACTGCAAAAACCCAACGCCATACTTCTTTAGCTAATTACTCATCACACATGTACAGAGCCTTATGGTATACCATTGTATTAACCACTCTGTGGTGGTTTGAATGAAAATATCCCCCATAGGCTCCAAGTGTTTGGACATTCTGTCCTCAGTGGATGGAACTGTTTTGGGAGATTTTTAAAGGTGTGGCCTTCCTTGCTGGAGGAAGCAGGTTGCAAGATTTGAGAGTTCTTAAGCCTTGCCAGATTTCTAACCACTCTCTGCTTCCTGTGCCTGCTTGAAGATATGATAGCTCTGATTGTGCTCCACCCACCTCCTGCCACGAGGCCTTGAAGGACTCTAATCTCTCTGGAACCATAAGCTCAAAACTCTTCTATAAGTTCCCATGGTCACAGTGTTTTATCACAGAAACAGAAAAGTAATTAATACACACTCTGAATCTTTCATTATTGAGAAGCTATAACATCCATAAGAGTGCAAGCTTTGGAGTCTAAAAGATCAAACCCCGGCTAAAAACCTTACTACTTGTGGTCTTACTCATCTATTGAAGCTCATTTTGAAACTTACATTTATTTTCTGTAGTATCAGGCTTAATCCTTTATGACAGTATTTTTTTTATTTATTCATTTTTTTGTGTGTGTATGAGTGTTTTGCCTGCATTATGTAAATTCACCATGTGCTTGCAGTGTGCACAGAAGTCTGAAGAGAGCATCAGATCCCCTTGAACTGGAGTTACAGAAGGTTATTAGTAATCATATGGGTGCTGGGAACCAAACCTGGGTCCTCTCCAAGAGCACTCAGTGCTTTTAGCCACCAAGTCAGCTCTTCAGCCCTAATAGCATTATTTTTTCTTATGACAAACTATCCTTCATGTTTTGCCACAGGTAATCATAACATACTTAAAAGGATATGTTAAAACCATTTTGCCTAAATAAATACTAAAGAGGTGATGATTTAAAACATTACTTTGGTTTCTTGCAAAAAGAACTTTATTCCATTTTATATTCTAGCACATAGTATATCACAAGATATTACTGTTGAACGATATACATTATGGTTTCCATAAGGATGCTCATATCCTCTTCATTAATGAGCTCTCAGTCAATACTCCTGACAGAGTGACTGGCTTGCTCCACTGACGCTCCACCACCAGCACCTGAGCCCATGCTCCTCGCCTGGATCACTACAGCAGTCTAAATGAGGGAGCACTGCAGCAGTCTAAATGAGGGAGCACTGACTGCTCTGCCTTTCCTCCAGTCTTTCTTCCTCTTTAATACAGAGGGGACTTTTCAAAGTGCAAATGAATCCTATCACACTCCAAGGATTTTTACAGTGCCTAGGATAAACACCAAGTCCCTAATGTGGAGCCTTTGAGTTGGCTCAGCGGGTGATGGTGCCTGCCTCCAAGACTGAAGACCTGCATTTGATCCCTGCAACTCACATGTTGGAAGGAGAGAAATGACCTTGCAAGTTGTTTTCTGACCTCCACATGTGCACTGCAGCATGTGTATGTGCACCCACCCACAAACACACATACATACAAAAATTAAACTAAAAAAAAAAAAAAAAATCAAAGCCCCTAATGTGGTCTATGGAATTCTTTCTGATCTGCCTCCTACCAACCAATCACGTTTAATATCAAACCATCCTCTCATCTCATTCTCCCCTTTCCATCCATGCCAGTTTTCTTTCAGTCTTTGTCCTCTTCTCAAGCTTTTATTCTGCCTTGCGTGTTCTAGGGCCAACCTTCAGCCCGGGTGCTCTATATTTCCTAGCCACCCTTCATACATCAGCCTTGTTACTCCCCAAGGGAGACATCTCTGATCTCTCTGTATGTCCTTATAGAACCACATACCTCTCCTTCAGAAAACTATCAATTTGTAACTCTTTATGCTATTCTTTAATGAAGGGCCTACCTACAGCGCAGGTTCCACAAGGGGAAGATTTATTTCACTCTCCCCACATCTTGGGAGCTTTCAAAATTTTGCTGAATGAGTGACTTTCATCAACATTAATATTTTAAAGAAACCATTAAAATAGATCTCTATAGTACTCTGAAATAATAACGAGAAACATGATAATGAAAAAAAAAAAACAAGTACAGTGCATTTGCTGACATATCAAGTCAAAATACACAGAAGAGTGGTTCAGAAGAGTGGTTGTTAAAAGATCCAAAACTTACTCTTTTTCACAGTTTGAATATACATTTTTCTCAGACTTAGACCTCATTTCTTTCAAGTTGGGAGCAGATGTTAATTTCATAGCAGGCAACTTTTTCTTTCCAGGACCAAAGGCTACAAGGAAGCTTTGCAGGAGGAACTGAACCATAGCACAATATTGTATGTATCCATGAAATACAATCAACCACACATCTAAAGAGCTTTAAAAGCATGATGGCTTAATCAGAATATTTTTAGCCCAAGTTCTCAGCTCTTATCAAATGAATATCCAGCCATCTGCAAGCTTGCCTGAGTGGCAAGAAGCTGTGCATCAATTTACTTTACAAAGAAATCAACTCACTTGGACCGGAACTAAGTTTCACTGCCTGGTCATTAGATGGCAAAATTCAGTTGAGTGAGAAGTTAGTGCTAAATTTTCCATGTGCAACTTTAGAATTATATATTACTTGTCTCATACTTATCAACTGCAGATTAGGCAAGCAAAGAACTAGAATTTTATGTTAATAATTTACTTTCTTAAAAACGAAGAAAAAAAAAAAAACACCAGAGCTTGCACAAATTTGATGTTATTAACAGTAGAAAATATGGAGACCATCTTTTGCTGGTTTAAGGAGGTTAAGCAAGTGGCTTGGCATAAAACACTTTCAATGGTTTCTATCCCTGGGATCCAGCACCCAGGGATCAGCTCAGCTGGGACCCACATCTCCCGTGGGTGAGGATAAACCTTGGGAAACACAGGCCCGAGGCCACTGGGATCACAGTAGACATGATACTATGGATCCCAGAAACCTGGTGGTGTTTTCACTCCTGTCCCTCCGTCCCCTCCCCGGCCCCCCGCAGGTTCCAGGTTGGGATACTGGATAACCCACCTGCAAAGAGCCCTCAGCAAGGGAGGCTGCGGGAGGCGATGCGAGTCCCACCAGGCTCCGGAGAGCACTTCCGCGCACGCCGGTCACCGCCTGGCCCGGGCGCACTCGTGCTCGAATCTTCTCTCCATTCAGAGTACAGCCTGGTCCTTCCACCATCCTTCTAGCCCTTACCGAGACCAGGTAGTTGCAGGGCCCGCCGACAAAACCGGCGAGCAACTTAACTTTCCCGCGGAAGGAAAGTTCAAATCTCCCGCGCGCCCGGCCCCGCCCATCACCCCTCAAGCCCCTCCCAAATGCTGCCGACTCCTCCCCCCCGGCGCTGAGGGCTGCAGCACTCCTGCGGCGCATGCGTTGTAGCTCCTGGCTCCCCTGGACCTGGGGACTACTGAGGAAGCGCCAGAGGAGGATGGGAGGAGCTCACAGAGCTGTGCCTAACTGTAAGAGCAAAGGACACGGGGGACTTGAGGGCTTACAACGTCCGAGTTGTTCGAGCTACTCAGCCATGCACTTTTTCCCACCCGACTCTGAAATCAGTCGAAAGTCGGAAATCAAAGTCTGTCAGGCCTGTGATTTTGTACACCACGTACCAGTGTGAGAGGGAGGACAAAGTTTGATAGGACAAACAGCATTGATTCATCCTTTAGATTTAGCGTATCCTAGAAAAAGTGGTCTTGTATGCCGAATATATAGTTATAATATTGTCTGTATTCAAAACCTCTTGGCTTTTAGATAGCTGAGTAGGCTCTATCCAAAACCACGCATCCATTTTGTTTTGGCATGTTCTGAAGTGAAGGTTATTTGAATTTTTTTTCCTATATAAATTTGAGGGCAAGGCATAATCTTTGCAACTACTCACAACCCTAATCAAAGACGAATATTACATATATTATCCTTATGCCATAGAGTTCCGTAAGTTACAAAGAATTTACTCCTTTTTGAGTTGAACTATAGTACATTAAGACAATGTCAGTTTGTAAATGATTCCATAAAAGCCTAACATTGCTGCAGTTAAACTGAAAGAGTCAATATAAAGATTTAACTGGCCTGGCGTTGCGGTGCAGGCCTGTAGGCCCAGCACTTGGGAGGCACAGGCAGGCAGATCTCTGTGAGTTCAAGGCCTGCCTGGTCTACATAGTGAGTTCCAGGCCAGCTGGGGCTGCAGGACCCTGTCTCAAAAAAAGACCGCCCACCCCCCCAAAAAAAAGATTTAACTGATGACTTGAATTTTGGTGGGGAGTGATTAGTGTCTACCTCAGAGTCAGGATTCTTTCCATTCTTGTTCAGCTTTTGTTTGCTCTTTGAAATTGTCAATAATCAAGAGAGAATCCTGTTCCCCAAGTTCAAGTTTATTTCTAATCTCTACCCCTTGATGGAGGAATTTTTTTTTAAATTCACTTTCACTTTTTTCATATTTATTGTGATTAAATAAGTTGCATAATTTGTATGTAAAGGTTTCTGTGGGTCACATTTTGGCAGTTGTTTTGCTGGGTTGGTTGCAGTGCCACAGTTCTCAGAAGGTTACAGGAAAGGTGTTTAAGGGCAGCTAGAAGATGCACTTCTGAGATGATTCATTTATTAGGAGCAGGAGGCCTCTGTTTTCATCTTGACATTCTTCCCATGACCTGCTTCGCTGCTCTGGTGATGTGGTGACTGATTTACCCTGGAGTGTGTGATCTAAGAGAGAAGGCAAGGACATTGCAATACAATTTATTATCTAGTATCCTTGATCCATTTTGTGCTGCTGTAACAAAACACTTGAAATTGAGTTTATAATGAACAGAAATATATTTCTCATAATTCTAGAGGCTGAGAATTCCAAAATCACAGTGCTAATGGGCTGATTGTCTGGTGAGACTCAGTTTATGGTTCCAAGACAGTGCCTTCAGCATTGCATGTCTTCCCCAGGGGACTGTGATGCTGTGGCCTGTGTCCTCCAATGTAGAAGGCAGAAAATCAAAAGGGACATATTCCCTAGGTTAAAACCTTGAATAAGGACATCTAACCCCTTTCATGTAGAATACTTCCCCAAGGCCATACTACTGCAATTGGGATTAAGTTTTAGAATGAGTACTTATTTACTTAATGTGTATGAGTGTTTTGCCTGCATAAAAGTGTACCTGTGTGTGCAATACCCAGGGAGGCCAGAAGAGGATGTCATATATCTTGGAACTGAAGTTGCAGATGGTTGTTAGCTGTCATGTAAGTTCTGGAAACTAAACTTGAGTCCTCTTGAAAAACTGCCAATGCTCTCAATTGCTGAGTCATCTCTCCAGCCTCTCAGCATGAGTTCCAGTGGAAGGAAAAACACTGAAGCTATACCATCTAATCTGTTACAAACACTTGCTTCTTGCCCCATTCATAGAGGCCCAGTTGGGGTTCATTGAGCCACTGTCATTTTGTACAGTCCTTATAAAAAGGGCATTTAATTTATTTTTTAAGGGAAGAGGATCGAAGAAATTATGGATATATTTTTAAGCCATCAAAAAGCTTTTTCTAGCTGATTCATAATGCATTTCTCATTCTCTTTAGGTGTTGTATACTGGAATACATTCTAATCAAACATGATATTTCCTTAGGATTAGATTATAAGAGTTAAAGTTAGGGGACTAAAAGATTAAGTGACTTTAGTTATGTATTAATTGCTTTACTGTTTCTTTGATAAAACACTATGACTAAAGAAATTTATAGAAGGAAGAGTTTATTGGGCTTACAGTTCCAGGGGAATAAGAATCCACCATGGTAGGGAGGTGTGGTGGCAGAGGGGATCAGAGCAGAAACTGAGTGCTCACATCTTCAAGTAGGCAAAGGAAGCAGAGAGAAACAAACTTGAGATGGGACGAGGCTGTGAACTCCCAAAGCCCACCTCTAGTAACATGCTTTCTCCAGTATGGCCACACCTCCTAAAAGTTCTAGAACATTCTCCCAAACTGAACAAATCTTTAAATACTTGGAGCCTATGGTGCACTTACTCAAACCATCACAGTGACCCACACAGTCACACCAGAGTTTGTTCATAGGTGATTAGCCTTTGTTGAAACCTTGAATAAAGATAACTAATCCCATTCATTTTGATTCTTTAAAACATCTTTGTTCTTTATTCCTTACATCTAACCAAGAGCAGAATACAAATATGCATTTTCAGGGACTCTATTAAAACAGTCCCTTGTTGCAAACAAAGTCTGGCAAAGACATGGTACTTTTTAATGTAGACTGTTGGTAGCCTCTGAACTACCTTTCCCCCTGTATTTTCTCTTTGATATTGTTATCCAAAATAATCTTCTTCAAGGTTTCCTCTTATGCACATGTTATTAAATTCTCAATAATTCACTTTCTTCAGATATGCAGTAAGAATACCTTTATATTGTTTGGAATGGAGTTTGTACTTTCTAAAACTTTGCTGAGGCCTAATTCCACAATATAATGATATTGAGGTTGAGGGCCTTAAAGAATCATGGGTAGACATTTAGAATGGATTAATGTTCACAAAACAGTTCTGGCTCTCCTGGGGGACTGTAGTAGTATTTTTAAGAACTGGTTGTTGAGTCAGTGAGATGGTTCAACAAATTATGGCACTTCCTGCCAAACCTGCACATGGTAGAAGGAGAGAACCAATTCAGGCAAGATGTCTTTTGACCTCCACATGTGCTCCATGACATGCACAAATGGACACAAATAAATATACACACAGAAAATGAAATGAATAGGGACTGGAGTGATGGCTCAGCAGTTAAGAACACTGGCTGTTCTTGCAGAAGACCTGGGTTCGAATCCCAGCACCCACATGGCAGTTAACAACTGTCCCTAACTCCAGTTCCAGGGGATCCAACAGCCTCTGCTGTCCTCCGCAGGCATTGCATGACATGGGTGCACTTACCTACACGCAGGCAATACATGCATTCACATTAAAAAAATAATACATTGTAGGAATAATATGGTTCCCTCTGGTTTTCGTGACTAGCTAGGCATTGTTTCTCTCTTGTATCGTCTCCCCCCTCTATCATGGTTTTCCCACTTAAGGTGCCTGCACTTTCCCCCCTTTCTTCCTTACTAATACCCTTGCTCCCATGATCCTACCTCTGTTGAACTGCTTCTTTCTCCTTATCCCCTAGGTTCCTCATATACCCTTCCCTCCCCCCTCCCCTAATC